ATGAAGCGAGTCCAACCACTTTTTTAACCCAGTCCTCAAAACAGCCTCCCACAGATGTGCTGCACACTCTGGTGGGCAAGACTACCAACAGTAGTGCTGTTCAAAGCTCTGTGACACCAAGCATTGCCCACAGGCTGTGGGTTCATTCACATTTTGGATTTTTGTGCCTTTCCTTCCCAAGCCTATGTCTCTTTAGACCACAGCCTTGTATGGACTTCCACCCTCCAAACTATAGTTCCTTGGCTAAAGCCAAGGATTTAAATCTGTAGAAGCCTTCTTAGGGTAAAATTAATCATGTCACAGGTATATTCTGTCTCTCCACCGATAAAACTCCACAGTCATGATATCTAGCCCAGTGGTAGCTATTTATCTATTGACACATTCAATATGACATTAACTCTACCTCAAGTCACTAAAAAATAACTAGGAGTCAAGAAAAAGAAAGAATAAGAACATCAGACTAACTATAAAATAAGTTCCTTCTGTATGTGAAATAAAGGTGTCACATCTTCAATTTTTAATTTTTCTAAAGGATTGGGCAGATGCCTCTAACACATGGTCCATAAGTAAAGTTCTCATAGACAAGAAAAGCTGATGATTAAGTAGTAAGTTGCTGATTTTCCAGCAGCAAATCTTATTATTACCCAAACCAGTAACAGCAGCCAGCCTCTGCTGCCTATTGGCACTCAAATACCTCCCCAGCATTACTTGACTAACCAGAAATAGACTAAATTTCATCCCCATACCTAGACTATTTCTGTAATTTAAGAAAACAAACCAAAACCAAAACCAATGTGATTCTGTCAAAATGAGAACCAGAACCCCATTTTGTTTGCATTTACTTTTGCAACATTTCACAGTCTGCACTTTAGCAGGCAAGTTCTGTTGTCATATATGTCAGTTTTAAGAAACAGTTGTAAGAAATAAACCCAAGCACTTTCTGCAGGTCATTATAATGTGTACAAGTTTTGAGAATGCAAGCTGTAGTTCACATATACATAGAGGAATCCCAGGGACCCGCCCAATTCATAGCCCTGGGGAACCTGGCAGTTCACAGGGGCAATATCAGAAGATGAGATATTTACAGTGACAAACTGGCACCACTGAGGCAAATAGTAATGAAACAATGTCAGAACAGAGCCCACAGGGCTCAGGAGCTTCTACAGGTATTTTAAGAGAAACTTATGATCTCTGGTATCAAAAGCCACAGGAAGATCAGTAAGAATTAAAATTGACAATGTGCCAGAATCCACCTACTATGAAACAGAAGGTCACTACAAATCCTCATTAAAGCTGTCTCTCTGCTTTGGCCTGATTGAAATTTTTCAAACAGTTTATTATTACCATGAAGGTAAGGGCTGCAGTTGCCCTACCACAACCTTTTTCCAGGACCTTTGCTAGAAAGGTAGATTTGAAATAAGGTGGAAAACTGAGAAATTGCCTGAGGACAGCAAAAGGCTGCTTAATCAACTGCTCCAATCTTCAGCAAAGAAGAAATTCTTCAAGATGCCAAAGAGGTGTTAATGATAGATATTATAAAAGGGAGCTGCTACAGTATATCTTCCAAGGACTGCTACAAAAGCCTTGCTGGCAAAAGATCAAGAAAACAGCTTGCAAGTGCAAGACCATATCTATAATAAAAGTACAATGTGACAGGTTTAAAATCCATAAGCTATGCTGAAGTACATAGTTCAGAATCCCAATGACCCAGCTGGAACTGAAGTTATTGAAAGCCTTGGCATTTAACCACCACAGAAAAAGGAAAGACCCCAAAGCCTTCTCTCATCTCTCCACTAGTAGACCTTATGCCAGGAAGCACAGCAGCCCAGATTGCTTCTATGTAACCAGCTTGGAAAACCACCCTGCTTGGAAAACTTCAGCAGGTGCTGAAGTATGCTCCCAGCAGAACAGCAGCACTGAGCAACACAAAATGAAATCCTCAAGCCCACCACAGGTCCTTGAAACAATGGGACAAGCTGAGCATGTAGTGGCAATGATGGTCTTCCACGAGCTTCCCTGGCCTCTGAGGCAGTGCCTTAGCAGACAGTGAGACCATGGACCCACAGATCTACAGCGAGGTCCTCCCAGCTCAGTTCCTCTGACTCTTCACTTATGGCACTTAGGTTCCTTTTGCTCACCACATTCATTGTGCTCCTCCCTGTCCCATGCATGTCTACTCAATAAAGGAGTCACCTTTCTAGGTCAGAAACCAGAAAGAAAATCTGGGAACACCAGTTGGTTGCTCCTTCAGGACCAGCAAGAGTATCACTGTACCCCCAAAGCCCAACCAAACCACAAAATTTCCCTGCAATCCAAACCTTTACTCTCAGACCCCAAGGATGATAAAGGAGCAGCATCTCAGTGCTGCCCTAAGTCTGAGAAGGGTCAGTATTTGCTCATGTCTTTGGCAATCTCACTTCTTTTGTGCTCAACAAGCATTTTAATTGAGCAAAGTTTAACTGACTTTGATCCTGCTAAACATTTTCTTTTAGCAATGGCACCATTAACAAACATCAGGAAAAACCAAAAGGGATTTTATGGAAACACAACCCTCCAGGGAAGCTATTGGGAAAGGAGCACGTGGTCACAGTCAAGTCCTGAGATACGAGCTGGTCAGAGTGCTCTGAACTCCTGAAAGGAGAAGTGCTGGTGGCTGGAAGAGGTGGTGTGAAAATGAATGGCACTGAAGGAACAAGGAGATGTCTGAAGAGCTGAACTGAAGGGAAGGAGATGCATTAGTATTTCATACATAGATGAAGTTCAGTAGTCACAGAATTCACTAAGAAAATGAGGGTGAGGTCTCCTGTGAGATTATCAGTGAAGGGACAAGGGAACCAATAGTAGAACAGGTCATCAGTGACACATAAGAAGGAAATGCTGAAAAGCAAATAACTGAAAAGAACAGCCTATACTTCAGTTCTTGGATATCTCCAGTATGGAAAAAATAGATAAATTCTGGGTTAAATCTAACACACCACCCTCTTTACAACAGCAACTGGTGCCAAAACTTTTGACAGCATCTAAAGAAATCCCGTAACAAAAAATTGTGATTTCTGGAAACACTTGCTTTTTGTCTTCTGTTCATGCCCTTCTGTAACTCTGTGTGCACTTCCACCACTGGTGGCATTACGTATACAAAACATCCACTTCCTTCTCTCTCTCCTGAAACCTCCACAGGCTCTCATTGACCTTCATAGAAAGGACAAGAAGCAGCTGTTTGACTGTTATATTAAAAAATAACATTAAGAAACATTTTCCCATAAATTTTAAAACATCTTGCATTTACCTTACTTGTATCAATATCATAACTATATCAGCTAAAGGAAGATAATAAAAAAGTACCAAGTTATGTGACTCTAAAGAAGCAGTGAAGTCAGACCTGTGCTTTTTATACCAATTCTTTGTTTTATACAGATGTAAGGAAATAAGGAGTCCATTATTTTGTCAAAAGCAAAACAAAGATCAGTACCATTCTTGATAATATCACCTGTTTGTCCTCCAATAGATGTTAATTTATTTCACGTTTATTATAAACAATGATCAGGGTTCTCCTCTTGAGCTCCATCTCCATGTTGCTGTATTAGCTGGATGTCACAAAACTGTTTTCACATTTGGGCTCCTGCAGGTCATAATCCAATACTGCACCATAATAAATGCATTAGTAAAAACTTTAAACACTTTCTTGTAACCTGGCTTTCCTCAGACCTGAGCCAAGCAAAATACAGGAGTGCATTGCATGTGTGCTGAGCACAGTGATGAGAGGTGTGACTGGCACACAAATCACACACTAGGCACACTGTGAGCTCATTTTTTTCCTGAAATGGAGATGTAGTTCCCTGGTCTGGCACACAGAAATGTGAAACTTTGCAGCAGAGTTATAAAATCCATCACAGCTCTCACACAGAGCCAGGTCTATATTTCAGCTCTGCTGGACTGGACATGAGGAATATATGGATATCACAATCTAGCTAAGGGAAAAAAAAATCAAACAGATGTGTATCTTCAAATTCTCACCATGAGAAGAATATAAAGTGTGTAAAATGCAGTTTCTGTGTCTTTGTTTTCAGCTCAACTTCTCTATGCTTGACTACAGGTTATCACAATGAACGATATTTTCTTTTGAATTCATTCATTCACTAGGAGTTTTTGGCAAGAGGATAGTCTGAAACCTTTGTATGATGATGCTCAAAGTTCCTTAAAGTTTTGTCAGCAGCAGCTAAGCACTTATATAATGAAAAACTCAGGACACAGAATTACTTAATTCCACAGCTTTGTCCCAAGAAATAAATCTGCTGGAACCCTGCAGTTTTGCAATACATGATCCCCTTAAAGCATGATCTATTGTTTAGATGTCTACATACAAATCAACTGATAGTGCCTGATATTGTTTCCTCTAAGAATTATGCCTGAAGCTTTCCTAGGAATATGGTTCACATAATTACTCTTTAGCATGCATGCAAGAATTCCCACAAAAACCAGTAAATCAGCAATACCTGTGGGTACAAAACATATTTCACATCTCCACATTTTCAAGCTGTGAGGAAAGTTCAGAGTTTCCACCTGTTTTCACAGCAGTAGGAAGCTGGGCCCTGGTCATCTGAAACATCCTATGGGGCTCCAGATGCAAACCATGATGTGGTCACCCTGCAGCCAGGCACTCCCCCAGCCCCAGGTCAGTGTCACACACAGCACACAGCTAACTGGGCATGGTGTCACCTTCTGCCAGGGAATGGAGCAGGAATGTGACTGCCAACAGGAGCAGCAGAAATGGTGGAGATCGACCCCCCATGCCTGGCTGTGCCTTTGGTGGGAGGATTAAACTGATTAGCAACGTGGGAACACAATTATTTTCTCCCAGGCAGCTTGCAATAGGCACCATGATCCCACTTTAAGCTTCTTGCATATATCAAACTGGAAAAAGGAACAAATACAGAAGAGCAGGAGCTAAGATTCACCATGAACCTCCTCGCTTCTGACCCAAACAGGAAGCAAACTATCACCTTGTCCTTGCCAACAACAGCTATTTCCTGGCTGGTCCACAGAGGAAAACATTTCTTCTTCCCCTTCAAAAAAGCCCTGTTTGGGAGATAAGGAGCAGAAAAGATATTAACATATCATTCATTATGCAAACAGAAGGCATTTGGGTGTCTGGATTAGGAGACAATGAAAGAAAGCATTTGGATAGAATAATAGAATTCCTCATGTTGGAAAAGACCTTTAAGATCATCAAGAGAAACCATGAACACAGTACCACCATCCTGTTCACCATTAAACCACGCACTCAGTCATATATCTATATGATTTTTTAACACCTCCAAGGATGGTGACTCCTCCACTTCCCTGGGAAGTTTATTCCAATATTCTACAATTCCTTTCTGTGAAGGAATTTTTCCTACTACCTAATCTAAACCTCCCCAGGTTCAACTTGAGGCCATCTCCTCTCATCCTGTCACTTGTTACCTGTGAGAAGAGACCAACACCAACCTTGTTTCAGGCAGCTGTAGAGAATGATGAGGTCTTCCCTCAGCCTCCTTTTCTCTAGGCTAAACACCCGCCATGTCCATAAAACAAAACAGAGAACAATGAGGAAAAATCCATTCTGGTAGAAGCTGGGTCATTCTTGTGTGAATATATAGATGCTCTGATAAGTAAGATGAAGGTTTAGTACCACTGTTCATAGACAAAATATATTTTCATTTGTCCATAAACCACAAGCCAAACTACAGAAGAGACACTGCTTGCCTGGAAGCTGACCAAATCCATTTCTCCTGAAGTAGCAAAGTATATCAATAATGTACTCCAAGTCTTTTATTTTTCACTTGGCACTAATTCCTTTACTTACTCCACATCACCATTTCATCTTTGCAAAGATGCATGGAGATCCAAAATAAGCTCCTACTTTAGCACAGCATTTAAGCATGTTGTTGGGGTTGAATATAATAAAGAGATGCTAGATGATGGCCTAAGGCTGTGGGAAAATCCCTCTCTGTGAGGGTGAACAAATTTTGCCCCCATAATTCCTCCTGTTTCAGTTATGTTAATCTAGCTAGAAAGTTGTTTGTTCTCTGTGTTATGGTTGGCTATGTTTTGCCACAGAAATTTTAATATTCCTAATCACCCTCTCCTATTGGATCCTTCCCTTAAACTCCTCCTCTTATCCAAGTTTACATATATCCCTGTCAGACCCTTGACCTGGGGATTTTTTGCCTCTGCCTTGTGTATCAATCCTCCTTGGACTCCCTCTCTCCCAGTTTGCTCCATATAGCCTCTAGTTTGCTCCATATACCCTGTGAGGTTTAGTGTTTGTTGGTTTTGTATTATTAAAGCTTTCAGTTTTGGACAACTGGGTCAGAGTCCATCTTTCTGCCCCAAGACGCCGAACCACACGAAGCCACCAATCTCAACCGGGCTGCAGCACATACTGAACTAAAGTACCAGAAAGTTCAGCAGGGATGCTCATGTGCTCAAATCACCCTTGGTATCTCTGAATTCAGACAAGCACCATTATCACTGGGAACAAGAGCACTTCCCCACCAGCCCATCACAGCCCAGAGGAACGATTGTGTCTGGCCCCGTGACCAGGATCATGGGGCAAATACCAAAACACCCTCACAGGGGAGGAAAAGGACTCCTTCTCCAACAGAACCTGCTGCAGCTCTTATGCTACACAGCAAACAGCAGGAGCATTTGGCTATAACATTAAATGATGCTGTTACAAGTGCCTAGGGCTGTGGGAAAGAAAAGCTGAAGCATAAATGCTTAAAGTGAGTAAAGGAGCAAAGGAACTGCCATAATGCACAAAAATAATTTCCCTCCAAAAACAGGTACCACAAATGAGTACATAAAACATCCTGGCCTGGGCAATTAAATAGCAGGGTAAATACAATGAAAATCTCAGCATTATCTCAGTGTTCAAAGGCTGGCTTCTATTTAAATCAAAATAAGTTTTCTCTCTTTTATTTTTAAAACTATGAGTGCTGGCTGGCTGGGTTGTTCTGTGCTACACAAATTAAAAGGGAGGCCTATATTAGTTAAAAAGAAAAAAAAACAGGTCAGAGACAAAACTAGTACATATATTATAATAAAAGAGCTGATAAAGAATATTCTGCCTTAAAGTTCATGGCAGGCAGCAGCAAGAAACCACATGATGTTGGCAACAGGTACTTTAAACCTCAGGTCAAGGATAGTTGCTATATGCCCTGTCAATACACTGTTAACCATGATTGATTTGGTCCAGTGACAGATAATCTATTATGCACTCATACTTCAACACCACTAAATCAAAGATAGTTTGTCTAGCAGAACAAAATGACACAACATAGGAGAAAGCACAGGGACAAAGCAGTAGTCTTCTTTTCACCCAACATTCTCCTGTGACATAAAGGAATCAACATTTAGCAAAACACAAGTGCTTGTGTTTCTGAAGGACTTAGAAGAGGAAAACACTGTAATTTAAAAAATATATACTGATGAAAGAAAAACCATAGAAGTTCTAGCAAAATGTCAGAGAGAGTTGCAAATAGCCTAGACATAAAGAACAAAGTAGGGAAAGAAAACCTGCCCCAGAGTCAAGCTGTGTGGAGATAATTTATCTAAAACTTTGCAGTGGGGGAACCAAGCTTGCCATTTCTCATCACCTTCAGTACAAGGCGGGGAAACCAAACTGGATTATTTCCCAGTGTCAAACAGCATAGTTTACATGCTTTAATTGCCTGACATAGGCTTGCAGCTTCCATCTCATTCTCCCTCCTGGTCTTTCCTTATTTAATGTGGAATCTGCCTAGAGACATAATGTGTAGGAACACCTTCCTGTGTGTATCCCAACACTGATATTCTAAAGCTAAGGACTGCCGAGTGCCCACTGCCTGCACAACCCACCACTCTGCCTGAAAATGGAGTGCATTCATCCTCTTTTGTTATTCACTCTTAATATCCTGAGGTTCACAGCATCAGGAGCCTCTATTGGTAAGAGGCAAGACATTTCTGTGAAATAATTGAACTCCATTATTCTGTCATCCAGATACCCTTTGTTGGTCACAGGGACTGAATAGAAATTGACCCATCCCATATAAAGAATTAGCAGAGGGTGTAAGTAACCTAGGAAGCAGAAGAAGAACATGGAATACTGTGCTGATTGGCATCCATACTCTACACCCATCCATTTCTATATGGATTATAAACCACCAGCTGGTTACTTTGAGCTGGATAAACGTGTGACAGGCAAAACCCCAAAGGGCTGTGCAGACACCTGCAGTGTGTGATTATAGCACAGCCCCAGAGCAGAAGTGCTGCACAGACTCTCCAGCCAGCTCTGCCAGTCCAGGGCTACAGGGATGTGCTGCTGTGGCCACTGTGGGAGCTGAGCCAGCCTTTGCACACCAACCAGTGCCTTTCACAGCTGCACAAAGGCATTTGGGGCTGTGCTGAAGCACTCGATTGCTATGCAGGGGTGTAAAGGGTTACTAAATAAAATCTCCCCCTCAGGCCTTTTCTTTTGGAGGTCTGCATGGAGTGGGCCAAAACTAATTTTCTCTCCTAACCACATCTAGCAAGAAAAGCTCAGCCATACACAGAAGCTGTGAAATATTTGACAAGGACAAAAAAGACTTGGAGAACGGTGAAATATTAACCTGGAGATAGTGTTCATACCCCTCACCATTTAATATGGGACAGAAATAAGTGGGTCAGCTCTCATCACAGAGTAAATAAATAGTATTTTACATTCTATTGGGCAAGTACAGTATATATTTTCAATGCAAAGTCATTTTACCAAAGCCAAGTAGCCTGCAGATATTTTTGTGTTTCCTCAGCTTTATTATTTCCTTCCCTTAGATTACACAAACTCAGATTTTTCTTTTACTTTTCTTTACTTTTTACTTACTTTTTCTTCTTACTTTTCTTTAAAAGTAAGTATACTACAGCTGTGTATAATTTTTCTCCTCAAGCTTTGCAAAGTGTTGTCAAAGCAAAGAAGGAAAAAAGCCCACCATAGTAGTGATGGTGACCAATTTCACTTTTGTGCAGCCAGCAGAATCAAATTTGCTTCAGCTTTAAATGCACTGACAATTTGAAAAATTTAACAGAAGCTTTTTTTCCTTCTAATAATAGACACCATTAATAAGTTACATTTACAGATTCTTCCAGCCTTTACAGCATGTCCAATATGCAAACCCTGATATTTTTGTAAAGGCTGAGCTCCAGAAGACCTCCCAAGAGGTACATGGATCAGGCCTTCAGAACCTACACTGACACCTCCAGGGGTTTAGGGAAAGCATTTCAACTTAACCTGGCTGAGGAACTGGCTCTTTAAAGGTATTTATTTTCATACTCTGACACTGCAGGCCAACTAATCTAAGTATTTATCCCATTTTATGCATCACTGAATTAAACTTAATAATACTCAATTTATAGACAAAGAGTGAGGGAACTATGTGCTTGCTCCAGGTTGCACAAGACGACAGAAATAAAAGCTTGCATTTCTGACAATAGAAATATCTGAGCAAGAAGTCATCCCATCCTCTACTTAAAAATAAATCACGTGTAAGTGTGACCACAGAGGGGACCCCTGTTCAGTTGGCACAAGTGGGTACAGCTCTTTTCTTGTCAGCACAGCTGTGCTCCATTTCAGTAGCTCATCTGATCCAGAGTTTGTGTACGTGAAAACTGACTAAACACATGAGAAACAGAAAGCTTAAACACATGCAAGGTGTGCTTATATGGTCAATCTAAAATTTATCTCATTACCAATGAAGTTCTATCCCCAAAAGACTTAAATTCAAACCATTTAATGCTAATTAAAGTGGTTGTGTTTAAAGCAGCCTATCTCCCCTCAAGCGGTTAAATTAGGCTTATGAAAAGAACATCAGATGACGTACTCATTTCTTATTACCATAAGAAGGGTGACTTCCTTGGCTGGATGATTTTTAAAGAAATCATATGGTAGTGATATAATTTCCCCCCCAGTTAATAACTCTGGTGTGCCTGAGAGGCAAAGAGAGAGAAGAAAGGTCTCATTACACCAAATAAAGAGCAATTTGAGAATACCTACTGTCAACTTCAGCAAGGCAAAATAATTTAGCCATATATATTCACATATGTTCAGTTCACTAGAAACTCTACGTCAAAGCCCAGGTCATGCCTGACTCAATGGAGAGCACTCATAGGACACAAATTGCAGAATGTTTCTTATAACAGGCAGAGAAAAGAGAAAACACATTAAGAAAATGGAGTGCTTGAGTATCTTGTAAATAGAGAATGTCTGCCTGAGCAACCTGCCTTGCAATCAGCTCTTAAGCCCCAAAGGCATCAACTTGTGCTGTATTTGCTGGCTGACAGAGCCATACCCTACCCTAAATGCAAAGGCATACATCAAAAGTAGATGGGGTTTTTTGGGGGGAGAAAAAAAAAAAACAAAAAAATCCCCCAAACCCAAAAAAAACAAAGAAAGAAAAAAACCCCATTACACCAAAAGGCACAGTCACTTGGAAGGAGGCCACTTTCTCTGAAAAACAGTATTTCAGTAATATTTGATGCATGAATATTCCAACCCACATCCAATGCCTCAGCCCATCTGTGCTCTGCAGCCTCGCTACCCCAAAAGCAACACCTTGAGAAATAAATGCAATTGCTGTCTATTTCACTGCACACAAAGGGGCTAATGAACTCACATTTGAAATAAACCAGAGTCATTGAAGCTTTAGTGCAGCCATATATTAAGATATGAATATATTGTTCTCTGTCCAAGGAGACTTAACACGGGAGACATTAAAGCATAAAACCTTTACTATCCAGTAAGGCAGCAGAGCTCCCTGGCGCTCCCTGCACTTCCACATCCCAGGGAAGCGCTCCTTCAGCTCCCAAGGGAATGAAACATCTCACCGGGCCCGGCTCCTGCCAAAGAATATATAAATATAATTTTAAACGCCTGCCGACCTAGGAGACGGGCTGTATTTGTGCACTTGGCAACAACTCGGGTAAGTCTGGCGGAGACGTCCAAAACAAAACGAACAAGTCAGGAAGAGGCCACTGACATAGATGAATTCTAGACTGGAGCACTTTTAAGGACAAGATCTGAGCAAGCACGGGGAGGTGTTCGCCAGCACCTGAACGCAAAGCTTTTCCTCAGACAAACGCAGCCAATCCCGATCCCCTGGTTCATCTTTACCACGACCCACCCAAGACTTGTAGGCGTTTGGAAAAAGTGAAGTGAGTGGCCCGACGCATGAACTGGAAACTAATTCTGACAGAAAAGCCTCCAGAGCTCAATTCCCGCTGTTGGGTATCAACGCCCCTCAGCCCGGCCCGGCCCGGCCCTCAGCTCAGCCCGG